CCCTGGTGCCCGGGCTGTAGTATCTACATACAATTTCACACTAAGAGCAATCTGGGTTCCTTGGAGAAATGGTTGAGATTCATGTCTGGGTCAGAAAATGTATAAGATGAATTTGGGATATCTTGTCCTGCCTGAAAAGAAAGAGGTTTAATAGTCATTTATGATTAGTCAAAAGAACAAAGGAATGAACTTAAAGGGACTCTCAATGGCCCCAAATGGGATAATGTAAGCAATAAATGGAAATGTTTCCAACAGAATGAAGTGTAAGTATATAAAACCTATAAATTTGTAATAATGCTCAAAAGCAAAGAAAAGAAAAGCAACAAACAAAAACACACTCACTGGTCTCCTTTGGGGGTTGCTAGGAAACCAAATTATTATTTGAAATATTTCAAGGGAAAGAATCAAGCATTTATCCTGCTTCCTTGTATTGACTGTATTTTAGAGTAACTAAATAGTTGATGAGGGAAGTTCTGGATAAAATAATCCCAGATAATAAACGCAGGAGAAGTGATAAATTGGAAAGTCATCACTGCATCTCCTAATGAAGTAATGGGTTTGGACAACAAAACACTCGCCAAAACCTCTAGATGAAAAGGTGTAACAGGGTGCAGCCAGGCCACCCCCAACGAGGGGATTTGAAACGGGGTCCAGAACTCGGGGTGTCCAGGAAATATAAAAATACAGGATGTCCTCACCCCCACAAGCCTGGACTGAGGGATGGCGCACACTGAGCGGGGCCATTGAGTTACTCTGCATACCAGTAACAGCCCAATAGCTTCATACTGGATATGAAGAAACAGTTATTTTGCATATCAACAAGTCTAACTAGGGAGATGGTTGTGATTCCCGGACTAACTACTTGGCAGGCAGAGTGCTGGCAGGTATAGCAAATTGTAGGAGGAGTCAGAAGTGGGTTGCAGAGGAAGATTCATGCCAGAATTTAGCCATGCTGTTTTTCTTAATCTCGTGTTTTTGGGACCAGAGAGGGGGCTCCCTTGACCACCTGGCTTAAGAAGTGGGAAAATAAGATGAAGCAGTTTCGAAGGATACAGAGGATTCCCCAACTAGTCACGAGGGCGTGGTGTTGCATTAAGAACTGGAGATGGATGGCAACACAGCTGATGGTGCTGGGGACGGCGGGAAAACTGCCCAGCTGAGCAGGGATTTCTGGGAGAAACCTGGAGTCCAGCCAAGTCATGGACTTCCATTTCTTTTTCCTGAGATAGGGTCCCCTTGGCTGGCCTGGTTGGGCAGAGGGGAAGGCAGAAATGTGTGTGTTTGTGGGTGTTTCAAGGGACTTTGGGATTGTGACGGTGACATTCTACAATTACTCTAAATGTACATAACTTTTGAATAAATAGTTCCTTTCCTTTTAAACAAACTCGGGCACTGAGAACTATTAATTCCTAAGGGCAGCAGGCAAAAGAACCATAGTACAAAAGGACCCCAGAGGACGGGGCTTGCTTTGGTAACAGTATCTTGGCCCCCCGAAGGGTTGATTCTGTAACATAGTCAGTGAGGAACTTTTGAATGGCTGGATCAGGCTGATACCACCCAACCTCACTGATTAATCTCCAGATGTGGGGCAATCAGACACTATACGCCTCCCAATGTAATGCAATAGGAAGTATAAACCACTCTCTATGAAACAGTGTTAATTAAAAAGAGAGAACTAAATTTATCCAGGCCTCTAGAGCTAACTTCTAGTTTACAGACTAGACAGAAGAGTGCAATGAGTTAAATGACATGGCAAGGACATGACCAGATCCAGAAAGTGGGAAGTGGTAGCACAAAAGTCACTGTTATTCAACAAATAAAATGATACAAGCAAGGGAGGGAGAAATGTTACAGATTAAAGGGAAACCTAAGGTCTAAGCATGTGTATTAATTCAGACAAACCATTTCTAGAAATACATTTGAAACTACTGGGAAAATGGAACATAATCTGGGTATTGGGAGATAAAGGAGTAACAGCTAGTTTTGTGGTGTTATAATACTACTGTGGGTCTGTTGAAAAATATTATTTTTAGATACGCACACATAGGTAAAATCGTATGTGGAGAGGGGAAAAGAGGAAACGTGTGGGGTGCTGAAGGTGAGATGAGAACAAGAGGGCGGAAGCTGGGTGATGGTGAGGAAAAGGGGGGTCATCACACCCCCACTTTGTACATTTGGAAATCTCCCTGATAAAAAATAAAAAGGAAGAGCCTCTAGGATACCTTCAAGTATACCAACATTTCCATCATGAGGGGTGCCAGGAGGAGAGAGCAAAAAATTGAAAACCTATGTAAAAAAATAATGATGGAAAATTTCCCTAACCTGGTGAAGGAAATGGACATACAAGTCCAGGAAGCTCCCAAGGTCCCACACAAGATGAACCCAAAGAGGCCCACACCAAGACCCATCATAATTAATATGCCAAAGGTTAAAGAGAGCATCTTAAAAGCAGCAAGAGAAATGCAGTTAGTTATGTACAAGGGAGCTCCTATAACACTGTCAACTGATTTCTCAACCGAGATGTTGCAGTCCAGAAGGAATAGGCATGAAATATTCAAAGTGATGTAAAGCAAGGAACTATAACAGACATCACGCAGCAGAGCTATCATTTAGAACCAAAGGATATACAAGCTTCCCACACCCTGGCTGGTGTGACTCAGTGGATTGAGCACAGGCCTGCCAACCTAAAGGTCACCAGTTTAATCCCCCTCAGGGCACATGCCTAAACTGCAGGCCAGGTGCCCATTTGGGGGTGTGCAAGAGGCAACCAATTGATGTTTCTCTTGCCCATCAATGTTTCTCTCCCTCTTTCTCCCTCTCTCTGAAAATAAATGTAAAAAAAAAGAAAAAAAACTTCCCAGACAAGAAAAAGCTAAAAGAGTTCATCACCACCAAACCTGTATTACATAAAATGTCTTGTTTAAAAAAAGAAAAAAAGATAAAGAATATGAGTAATAAGATGGCAATAAATATCTAGCAAGAACTAAATCTAAAAACCAAAATATATATCCCTGGCTGGTGTGGCTCAGTGGTTGAGCACCAGCCTGTGAATCAAAGGGCTGCCAGTTTGATTCCCAGTCAGGGCACTTGCCTGGGTTGTGGACCAGGTTCCCAGTAGGGGGCACATGAGAGGAAACCACACACTGATGTTTCTCTCTTTCTTTCTCCCTTCCTCTCCTCTTTAAAAAAAAAATAAAAATAAGAAACAAAATAAATGAACAAGGAGAACAGAAATCATAGATACAGAGAACATTTCGATGGTTGCCAGATGGAGGTAGGTTCGGGGTCGGGTGAAAAAGGTGAAGGATTAAGAAACATAAATCGGTAGTTAAAGAACAGTCATGGGGATGTAAAGTACAACACAGAGTATACAGTCAATAATATTCTAATAAGTATGTATGGTGTCAGATGGGTGTGAGATTTATCAGGGTGATTACTTAGAAAGTTATACAATGCCTAATTACTAGGTTATACACCTGAAACTAATATAATATTGTATATCAACTATAATTGAAAAATTAAAAAATATTTAAAGTAAAGTAAATAAATGAAAAGGAATGAATTAAACTATAGTACTTGGCCTAAATTAAAAAATTGTAATACATACGTGGCCTAGGTGCAGGAAAAAAAGGCAGTTTCAAAGGAAGTAAACAGAATTATTTTTTTGAAGAAAAACTGAGCAATATGTATTAAGCATCTTTTAAGATTTTACATTCGGTCCAGAAAATTCACTTTTAAGAATGAATTCTCAGGAAATTTTCATAGATGTGCACAAAGATACATCTAAAATGATCTTCCAGCCACAAAAAGTAACCAATTTCAAAGTTATAGTATATTTATATGTAAAATTTTTTGTAGCCATTAACCATGAAATTACAGAAAAATACTAAATGATATGGGAAAATGGTCAAGATAAACTGTTAGGTGTAAAATGCAGGCAATAAAATAGTATACACATTTTGACCCAATCTAGTCTTAAAATCATACATCTAGAAAAAGCCAGAAAGAGTAATTCTCCATGATGTTAACAGTTGTTATTTCTAGTTGATGGGTTAAGACGCTTTCCTGAAATTGGCTAACAATGGAGTTGGTGGGTGTAGCAGCGATCTTTGAACTGAACGACAGAAGAGTGTTAGGGCAGGGCAGAGCGGACACATTAATAATTAATATTTTAAATGACAGGTATTTAGCACACTCTACTGTGAGAAAGATCATGTTTTAAATTTAAAACCAGAGGGTGTCCAGAAGAGGATCAAAGTTTACATAAGTTAAGTGGAGAAGGATGGACAAATTACCTAAGACGACTGAAAAGGTCACTGCAGTAAAAATCCTAGTACAATTCTGAAAATAACCAAAACAGCCTGTTAGACCATTCTTCCTGAGTGTACCACTCTGACCGATCATTACACACTGGGGTCTAAAAAGAAATGTTAGATATTAATAAAATACAATGCAATTCTGACTATCGAATTTGGCTTATGTAAGTGGGTTAAATCTGTTAAGGGAATAATTCTGATATAATAAAATCTAGAAAATCCTGAAACCCACCATATTTTGCCATGTATAATGTGCACTTTTTGGCCCAAATTTTTGAAGGAGAAATAAGGAAGTACATTATACATGAGTAGTACTAATTTTATATCTATATAAATGGTTTTAATTCTTTTATTTATGCTTATTTGTTAATAGTGCAACTCTAGAAAGCAATAATGATATTTGTATGCAAAATAATACCCTGCAATACAAGAATTGGTTTTGTTTCTAAATATAAATAAATAAGTAAATACTTGAATTAAAAAATTAAAATGACGGATTTTTTCCCTTGAAAGTTTGGTTCAAAAACACGGGTGTGCATTATACATGGTAAATATGGTACATTCTATACATTATATATTGTTAATGATTAGAAAAGCCAGACTTCTGCATCTTTTTCACTAGCTTTAAAATTCCATTTGTCTCCTTTCTAAATCAGGCAAAAGCAAAGAACATGTCCACACTACCTGGTTTCTGTACTTTCATCGGTTCTTCATAATCCTTGTTTTCTGGACTCGAAGATTCTAGAAAGCTGATTTCTTCTGTGACACTTTCCCCGTCTTGGCTCTGGAGGCTGTCTTCCTCCTCTTGAATAGGTGATTCCAATTCTGATTCTTCTGAATCAAGAAATATCTGACCAGCTACAACTCTGCCTCCTGTGCTGTGGTCCTTTACTGACTCGTCTGATGACAAAGAAGTCTGAGAATAGAAATTATTTTTAGTGGTCAGTGGTACCAAAACTTGTTTCAATCTAGTTTGACCATTACTTTTATCATCCAATTATATCTCCTTCAGCTCCTTCAATGTGCCATACTCACTCATCTTTATGGGCTTTTGGATGTGTCTGTCACATTGTCCTCATCACCTGCCTAACACTGACTCTTTCTTGGAATTTCAGCTTAGATGACTTCCCCCAGGAAGCCCTTCCTAATTCCTGGAATCTGGGTGAGGGTCTTCCCCTACACGTTCCCCACACATCTTCTACTTCCCCTTGTGACAGCCTTGTGTTCTAACTTCCTGTTTCTTCTCTACAGCATATTCTCTCTAATCTAGAGATCAGGGGACCATAAATGACGGACCTCCGGGAATACATAATAATCAGCCTTATCCATTCAATCAACCGATTTAGATACATAATTCAATTGATTTTTAAAAATTGATATAAGCAAAAATAAATGACAGAGGTTCAGTCTTCAAAATAAAAAAAACCTAAAAACTAAAAAAATAGGAATAAAATCAATCTCTCATTAGGCAGTAAGAGACTGTAAACTTTTACACCTACATGGAACATTCAAGCTGAAATTAAACCTAACAACCAATACCCTTAATGGAAATATTTATTTTCTCCCTAGTAGGTCAGTAATTTTTTCCTTATCTTTTTTTTAAAAAAATCAAATTCTGTTGCTTAAAAGATACAGATTTCATATCCTTTGTTTTAAATTGGGCATCGAATATGAGTCAATGCGAATTTTACTACACACCTTGGAATCTAAGGATTCATCCTGGCCGCCTTCTTCATCTGCAAAGAAATTTTAAGACAATTTGGTCATCTCTATTTTTGGGAAATCACAGGCACTGTTAAAAGAAAGCATTTAATAAGAACAACAAATAATAATCAGACACTGAATAAATACATCTAGCATTATCTAAAACTGGTGGTACTCAGCAACTATTCAGAAAAGATTAAAGTGAAAAGATAAAAATGGGTTGGGGCAGTAACTTCTCCTGTTTCCAGGAAAGACATTAGCTCTACCTGTTATACAAGCAGGAGGACCAACAACCCCTTCACCAAAACCAGATACTTCAGATACCACCCAATTCTTCGGGATATAATTAGTCTACCACTGAGAATGAGTTACTAAATTTATAAAAATACATCTCTGATTTTGTGGTTCAGAATCCTACCTATTCTTCTGCTGAGAATCTGTTAATGCTGATTAGCACTTTATTGTTCACTAAGACCACTAAAGACAGACACTAAAAATTATTATTATAATTTGACAGCAGTTGCTGGAGTCCAGTCTCAGTCCAGCTGCTGGACTGAGATATTTAAGGTGTGCTATTTACTAAAGAGATAACCAGATACAGGTAAAAAGCAGCATCATACCACCATGCAGTCATTCACAAAAGATCTATTTATTTAGCTTATATTAAACAATGAATGAATCCAGACACTAATTACACCTTTCTTCCAAATGCGTATCTGCTCTCTTGGTTTTGTCCGATTATGTTAATTTTCCTTCTATTATTCTTTCTGTATTTTCCTGCTATTACTTCTATTCTGGTCCCTTGTTATTCTTTTTTGTGTTCTTATATAAACACACTCAACAACCCGACGTCCACATGCAAATGTTTGCTCTTTGTGTTCCTGGCCAATTAGAAACAGTCAGATGATCTCTAAGTTTCTTGCTAACTTTTAAAATAACCAATTTTTAGATAGGAGTGAGCTTCAGTTTTGCCTGTTCCATAAGTTATATGAGAGATTAACCAGTAGGCAAAATGTTACTAAGACCATGTGACTTTTACTAGAAAATTTGGTGTTAAAGATCAATGTCATTTACCTACTTCATATGGTCATATCCTCAATATTGTTTGTAACTCTCCACAGTACAACATGTTTTGGAGTTTGTATTATCACAATACTGAGCTAACTTTGAGAGTACAGGCAACTCAAAATTATGTGCAAAACACCCAGCACTATTTCACAGCATGTTTCTTTTGAATATTTGAAAAAACGTCTACTAGTGAGGTTTTGTCATATACAAAAGCACTGTCAATCGAAAGAAACTTAAATTGTCGCTACCTTCACATTCATTATTTTTAGATTACCTTCCAAATATGCTTTATTTCTGGTGGGAGGAGAAGAGGAGGGTATAGGATGTATTAATCCATAGTGCCCATACATTTAGGTAGTGATGTCAATTAATTAATAATCATCCTTCGGGCTAACTTCTTCACAAGTATCACCCAAAGCCCAAGTTCTAACATACGGTTCAAGTTTCATTCTCGAAAAATCTTTGGATAAAGGGGAAAATATTCATTTCTATTACATATTGAAGTTATATGTGTGGAAGTATTTAATTAGTCACAAACATTAACTAGTTAATCCATTGAGAACAGACATTAAATATGCAAATGTATATGGTATACTGGTATATCCCAATACTGAAACTTTAGATTATTTGAAACTCGTGGGTCACTAAATCATTAAATTTAGTGCCTTGTCGCAACAGGTCACATATGTAGCTAATCAATAAATAATATAGATGCCTACGAATAAACCTTAAGACATGTCCATTTGAGACACTACCAGCTGTTAGACATTAATGTGTTTTTGAACTCCCAGAGACATGGGAATTTCTGACATCAGGCTTATTTCATGTGAATTGCATCATGCTTCTCTCTCTCTCCTCTCTTCACAGACTAGGAATAGATAATAAGGTTACTGGTAGATAAGAAAATTCTTTCTCATTTTCTAAAGCAGGAGAAGCTACTCCAGATGGTAGTCTTAAAGCATAAGCTATTTTCTCTTTCAAAATGATATATCCATTCACATAACACATTTAAAGAAGTTGCTATAACCTAGAAACTTCTGCTCTACAGAAGTCAGTGAGGATTAAAGACATTGAAGTTATACATAAATAAGAAGAAAACAGTACTGCTTTCATCAGCACACATACATCAAGCAACAAGAATAATGCAAAAGGACTCAATGAGGAGTTACGGATTTCTCACTTTTCTCACTCCACAGCATGATACCCAAAATACAATGGTTTGCATTACTTTAGTAATTGTATATCTCCCTTTGAAAAAGATAAATTTTCATTTTAATTTTATCAAATAACAAAACTACAAATCACCAGGGATATTCTCTGAGGAAAAAGTAATTATTACAAATTCATTTTCCAACTCGTCATGTAAATTACACCGATACACCTTCAAACACAGAAAGTTTTAAGAGTTGCTGCAAAGAGACAGCCTGGCCTCTGCTTTGACACTGCCATCTGTGCAGATGCTAGGGTACTCCTGATTCTTAATTACTTCAACTCCGAGGCCTGAAGAGCTGGGTTCAAAACCTGGCTTCCCTGTATATTAATTTTATACATGTGGTTCAACATCGCAAACTTGCTCAACCTCTTTTTCCTCCATGGGTCAAAAGGAATAATACCATCTACCCTGTTGACTCGCAATGCTTGGGGCAACAAAAGAACAATGAAATTAAACATCCTCTGCAGGCTGAAATCTACTCTTTGAATATATGGTATTAACATAATTACTACTCGAAATACCTAGCAGTGGACCTAATTTAAAAGACTCTGCAACAGAGAGAAAAGTAAACCATGTGCCTGTTCCTGCCAAAAATAAAATATGTATATCTAAGTAAGAAATGTTACAGTATTTCTATTATCTTGAATGAAGGAGAAATCTTTTTAAAAATCTCCTTCTTTAAATTTATTTATTCACAGAGGAAGCATTTTCTTTTTTTATTTTAATTTATTTTTTATTGATTATGCTGTTACAGTTGTTCTATTCCCCCCTTATTCCCCTCCACCCTACCCCCCATCCCCACCATTACCCTCCTTTAGTTTATGACCATGTGTCTCAAGTTCTTTAGATTCTATAAAATATCACTTTTTACATGACTCTAAATCAAGATATTAGATAATAGCTACAAACAGTGATAGGATCAAAATTCTCTTTGTTGGCTGATCATCATATTCTCCTGCTAATAAATGCAGCTTGCTCTGGGTAACCATTCACATTCAAACTTTAAGTCGACGCAAAAGTATAATCAAACCCAGATTTTTTCAATAGGTGCAAATCTTTAAATCTAAACTAAAAATGAGGCTGACATCCCATATAAATAAGCACCTTAATGAATAAAAAATTTACTGAAAATCCACAGTTAATTTATAAAACTTCATCTCATCTGTTTTATAATGTTTGCATTTCACGTGAGCACAGTACTGCCTTTATTACCTGTAGGTCTACACACACGTATTATTATTTAGCTCTGGCCAAGTAAGGTTTTTGCCTCTACCAGAGAAATGTTTCGGCACAATTTCACTATGATGGAAATCACAGCAGACACTATGTGAACCTAGTCCTCTGCTTACATCAACACAACCCAAAGATTTCACACCTCAATATTAACAGTTTTCCATCATGACACACAAGAATCCCAACTGTTGATTAAATGACTTCAAGTATCATCTCCATGGACATGAAGCTCTCAGCATACAAAATGTAGTCAAAGGAAGACGCAGAAAAATGTTTGTGTGCTTTAACATTCTTTATATTCTGCAAACTGAATTCAGAGGGCTATATAGCATATTCTTTAACAAGTAGTTGTCACAGTTTAGTGTGAAGATTCACATGGGGAGCTTGTTAAACTACAGACACCTTAGCCTGTTCCAGACACAAAACTGCACTTTTAACAGGTCTCTAAGAGCAAGTCTGATGCAGGTGGTCCATGGTCCATCCAGTACCTTACCTTCTACACTCAACAGTTTCTTTTCATACTTTCTTGGATCAAATAACTGCTAGCAGTACTTCAAGAGCTATGTCAAGTATTAAAGATTTGGTGAGGAATGCAAACTATCATTGAAAGGGGAGGTGGGGGAGTCTGACCTCAGACCATGATGCTGGCTGTAAAGTAACCAGCATGTGCTTGTTGCTTTTGAAATGGTATCTTAAACCATATTATGGATAGAGTTTTAGGGTTAGACCTCTTATTTTAGAAGCCGAATGACGTTATGGCATTGACTTACAACTAGGACAGATAATTTGGGGATTCAAATAACCATTTGGGAAAATTTCTGTTAAAAAAAAAGTTGACATTTATACCATGCCTTATTCTAAAAAAATTTAAAGACTCAGAACAGCTGTCTTGTTAACAAAAAGTGATTAAAATTCAAAAGCTTTACTGTACCAATTGTTTTTTTTTACCAACACTTAGAAAAAACACTAAGTGCTTCTTTTACAAACAATCCCAAAATAGAAATTTTCAGATGTAGGCACGTTCAAGTATTCAAAAGAAATTATTTTTAGAACCACTGTATAAATCAGCTAATTGTACAATCAGTTCAAAAGTATGTGAATTTCTATATCTACAAAATGGTTAAAACTAGTGGTTATCCTTTCAAAATTAATAGGGTCCATGATTTTCTCACAAATCATAAAATTATTGCCAACGCACATGGGGCAACTCAGACACACAGTGACAAGGGTAAAAACCACTTTCCTAAGGAAGATTTCTTCAAAAGGGGGAGGGAGTAGACACAATCATATCAAAGGTTTTCATTATTAATTTGACGACGAGACTGAGGAACCACTCAGGTGCTAAGCAAACCACTGTCAACGTCCTGGTTTTCATGGACCAGACTCTGCCTAGTGACAGCCCCAGAAGTGTCAATTACCTAATTTTACAAATCCCCAATCCAGAGTTTCAGACCCAACGTAGCACATAATCTACATGAGAGCCGAGGAAGCTCCAGTAGGGCTCTTGTGTCACCTGCATCTAAGCCAGCTGCGGAATTCACTCCCGAAGAGTCGATTCCTCATTCGTGAGGAGTCGGGCAAAGTTTGTTGAGTGAGAAGAGGTGTGGGCACGGTGACCGCCCCTTCTTTTCCTCCCCTCTCTAGTTCCCTAAACACCCCCTCCAGCTCACGCCAACCGAAGCCCAAGGAATGACAGCCACTGAAGGCTGGTGCTACCTGTGACCAGACAAGACTTGAATCTTCAGCTTGAGCCCCCAAGGCCCTACCCCGGGTGGAGGCCGGAGGGGGCGGTGGCTCCCGACCTCCAGTACGAGGGGGCGGATACTGACCAGAGTTAGCCAAGGCCGTGCCCAGCAGCACCGCACAGAGCAGCAGCGTCAGCCCCACCTGGACCCGCATCCTGCTCTCGGCGCCGCTGCCGCCGCCTGGAGCTGTCGCTTTCGCCTCTGCCACCACCGACTCAGCCACCACCGCCTAACCGCTGTTCTTCCTGCTCTAGTCTCCTTCCTCCGCCCCTTCCCAGGCCTCCTTGCCCTAGAGTTTAGCCTATCCCCGTCTGCCGCTGTGGGCTCCTCGCCCAATCGTCGCGATATTCCCGCCCACCTAAGTGCCCCTCCCCCAAAGTCACAGGTTGGCCAATCATTACGCGAGGCTTCCACACTGGCTTTCCCGGTTGGACCACGGCGTCACCGACATGGCCCCTGTTAATTGGTAGTTTCTAAGTTCAACCATCCCGGAATCAGAGCGTTAATCCAAGGCTGGGAAGTCATCTAAGACTACAAGTCCCACAATGCACTCCATGGACTTTTCTCGTTTTGTGCTGTTGGGAAGCGTAGTCCATTGCGAGGTATGGTTTAAAAGTGCAGGTGGCTGTTTAAAAGAACTTAGGTAACACCTGGGCTGAAGACTAAACTGAAGGCCTTGAACCTCCGGGCTTTTCTTTTTTCTTTTTTTTTTTTTTTTGGTGGGGTGGGGGGCAAAATTAATATCAAGAAACAAACATTGTAAGGTTAACAGTTTGTAATGTGTTAAGCTCTTCCCCTTTGTTTTATTTAGAAAATTTGAATTGGAATAGTGATATCAGCGTGGAATAAAGACAGCTGGTAGACCGAATTCGAGATATTTTTTTAAACTTGGATGAAAAAGTACCGTATATTTGGGAATCAGGGTGGAACTCACTGCTGGTCCTCTTTTCCCTGACAAAACAGAAGGAAATAAACCCTACACATTGCAGATCATTTCAATGTTAGTTTTCATTTTTATGAGGGACATCAGATAATAATCATCTAGAAAAATGTGCCAGCAGCCTTTGCAAAGCCTTTCAAACACTTGTCCTTATCTGTCTCTTTTTTAAAGGTGCATTGTTCTTCATGGGCTAGGTTGATGTTTCTGGTAAAAAGGTGACAGTGAGTGCACCACAGAAACAGAAATAGTCTTGTGTATTAAGTACCAAGTCCAGGCATGCTTCCACTGGGTAGCAGGGCAGTAGCTTGGTGTTGCTGCGCCTTCATCAGATTGGGTCATTTTGCTTTTCCTAGGATCCGTCCACAGGTCTTAGGCCTGGAACCTAGACCGTCTGAGTTCAGGGTTTCGGAAAAGTCACACTCACCACATATCTTGATACCTCTGGGCATTTATCTTCCCTTTTCTTTAATAAGAGAGTCCTCTGTTCCATATTCACATCCAAGGGAATGAGGAAAAGTATTGTTTCACGAAAAAGAGTTCTCTTTCCTACTACTACCTCCTTTGCACTCATCTCTATTTCTGTGTTTTTTAAATTAGATTTTATTTATAGAAAGTCATCATTCCTTCCAGTTTGTCTAACAGATTACATAATCAAGGGATTTAAAAATTGTTAACCAAGAAATCCAACTTTCATCTGAAAAAGTTACACTATGCTGTTAAATACAGCCAAGGTTATAATAATACAGGTGTTACTAAGTCTACTGGATCCTGAGAATTATTCACCAGCACTCACAAGAAAAGGATAAAACTTTGTCCTCCTGAAAAACTGTATCACTTTTTAGGAAACCGGTAGAGCTTCTGCCTGCCTCAACGTTTGCAATTATGCCCTTACAAATGTCTACACAGTCTGTTACAGGTCAGCTAGGAGTCAACCGGCTTAGTATTGGCAGGTAAACACACATCCCTGCAGACCTATTGCTGTTCATGATGACATTTGGAAGCACCAAACTGCAACCCTGAAGGCTCTTCCCATTGCATTCCTACAGAATACGTACACCTATGAAGGGTATCACCACCAGTAATATTTAAAACAAGGTCACTTCATACTGCAACTCACATGTACCATAGAATGTTCAAGTATGCTCAGTTTTGAACTGTGTGACAAAGCCAAACATCCCACCATTCAAATAAAAAAGTGGAGAAGAGTTTTAAAATATCATTAATTTATGTGATTAAGTTTTGGAGTAAGACAGAATAGGCCATACAAAATTTGGAAACAGAAGAAAACTCAGATTTCAGCCACCGGTACCTTTCTAAAGACAAACCTAGTATTTCTATGGCCTGCCATCTGGAAAGTGTAATTCTTGCTTTCCCTGACAACTTCTAGTTGAGAATGTAGCAGTCATTCTAATCACGGGGCATTAAGAATCTTGTTGCTCCTGACTGATAGCTCACATCTGGAACATTTATCATGTCTACATGGCAATACAGGGGCCATGAAGGCAGAGGAGAATATGGAAGCATTCCCTGTGAGAGATTACTAAGGGGAAAAAAGCCTAAATCCCCCCAAAACTATTGATCATACTATCTAATTACATCCAAGGAGCAAGAGAAGAAATAACTAAGGATCGCAGAGAATTTACTCAAGCTGTCACTGCAAAGAGCAAGAGGAAGAAGCATGTAACAAAGCTCACACTGCATGTGCTTCACTCTTAGACCCCTTCCCTCAAATGTGCCTTCTGTGCAAACAGGACTCGTCTTCAAAGTTCCTGAGTCTCTTTCTTATCCAAGTTGTTCAAAACAGTTCAAGTCTTTCCTAAAAGGAACCAATTGGAAAATATAAAAGCTTTCGGAATGTGGCAGCAAAGGAAATAAGGAATACATGGAAAGAGGAAGGTTAGGAGAAGCCCTCCCGGTACTTGGTACTGATTTAGAGAGAAAAGTTTCCAGGCTGCTGCCCGCCACAGGGTCACCAGCAGAACTGTTTGCCCTCGTACACAAGTCCCATCGTTTTTGTTGCATGGAGCCTTCTGGCAGCCGTTTGACAGGAGCTCCTTCTTCACTAAGGCTTTCGAAAAATTGCGATGATTAAACCTCCAACACTGGTGATATGTTTGTGTCTTAGCTCTGACAGAGAGATGCGCATCGAAATGATGTGAACAACTGAACATGGCACTTTCCCCTGGATTAAGACGGGTCTAGCACTTTAGGCGGAGCACAGACGGGAAGAGCAGGAGCCCAAGCAAGACGAGCCCTCCTCTGCTTCCCTTTGTGACCACAGAACCTGACCTCGCCCAGGGTCCCATTTCCAGTGCCACCCCCCTCATCTGTATTTCTGTCACCAACAGTGTTTCCTCAGAGTTCCTCTGATTATACTTTTTAAAGAGCTTTTATTTATTTATTTTTAGATAGAGGGGAAGGGAAGAAGAAAGGGAGGGAGAGAAACATTGATGTGTGAGAGAAACCAGTTGCTTCCTGCATGCCCCCAACTGGGGACCTGGCCCACCACCTGGCCCGCCACCTGGCCCACAACCCAGGCACGTGCCCTGATGGGGAATTGAACCAGCGACCTTTCAGTCTGCGGGCTGGTGCTCAATCCACTGAGCCACACCAGCCAGGGACCTCTGATTTTAAATCATAGAGGAAACTCTGGTATGTTTTCCTCCCTTTTTCATCTCATTGATCATTGAGTTGTATAAACAACTATATAGGCTTGGGCAAAAGTAGGTTTACAGTTGTGAGCACATGAAACAATTTATTCTTGTATTACTATTTATTCATTATTGTATTATTTTCCATACAAACTACTGTAAACCTAGTTTTGCTCCATTCTGTATGATTACTCTTTTAAGTAACCATTTTTCTTTCTCACTGAAAAACTTTCCTGTTGGCCCTCATTTTCCCCTTACCTGCCTGATGCACCTGAGTTCCAGCCATACTCATTAACCTTATTTTCTCTTCACCCTAAGCTAAGCCACATATTGTGGCCAGACTAATTTTCCTTAAATGCTGTTTTCATATTCTTATTCAAAAATGTTTCAGTGGTTACCTTTGCCATAAAACAAACAATATTAGAACTTCTACTGACAAAACAGAAATTTATGTTGACAGTTTTCCTTTCTTGGGGAAGTATTGAGGAAGAAACTTCTGCCTTCCCCACAAGAAGCAGTGATTACCTGGCTGATAAGATCGGGGAAAGTTCACTGTTTCATTAAGACCCAACTTCTACCTCATCCTTCTCTTTACTGAGTGCTTCTTATATTTCAGGCCCCAAGATAGGTACTGCATGGACAAATTAACCACTTCTGTGTACTGTTTTCTAGTGAAAGGGAGGAAACACATTTTTTAAAGTTGTTTTGGCTGGTATAATAATCTAACATGAAACAAAGAGGAGAAAATAACTAAATTTATTACATATGTACATATGGGGAACCCTAAGAATGTGGGACCCAGGAAATATTGGGGAGTTGAGACTCGTATGTTATTCTGGACTGTGGAGAGGGAAGCAAGGGTCTGGAATTTCAAAGGCAAAGTATGCAGTTCACAGGTAGATGAGAAAGAGCAAAAATTAGGTAAAGAAATCCTTGCTGGTCTCACAGAAATGATGGGACACAGAGAGGAATCTAACAGATAGACTTTGCTTGGTGTCTCCCTGTCTGCCACACTTAGGTTATGTTAAGGTAGATGCTAAGGGGATCACTCCTTTCCTTTAAGCAGGTTTTTCTGAGTTCCATTAGGCAAGCAAAGGGGGAGGTTCAAAGGTCCTTTATGAGTCCTTTTGTTTCTTAAAAATGGAATATATCCGAAGGAACCCAGAACACTAATTTGGAAGAACATAAGCACCCTTATTAACACAACAGTACAATAACTTCATTCTCTTGGCATTTATAATTGCCAAGATATAGAAGCAGCCTAAGTGCCCATCAGTAGCTGAGTGGATAAAATAGCTGTGAGACATTTACGCAGTGGAATATACTTAGCTCTGAAAAAGAAAAAAAATGATCCTTTGTGACAGTATGGATGGACCTGGAGAACATTATACTGAGTGAAATTTGCTAGACAGAGAGAGATAAATACCCTATGATTTCACTCATATGTGGAATCTAATGAACAAACTGAACCAACAACTAAAATAGGGACAGACTCATAGAAAGAGAGCAGGATGGTGGCTAAGGCAGAAAGGTAAGGTGTGGAATGGAGGGATTGAGCAAAAAGGAAAAAGGACTCATGGACATAGACAATAGTGAGGTGATCGCAGGGGGAGGGGGTATAAGGGGACTAAATGGAAATGGGAAATATACAGTAAAAAATAAAAACTATAGATGTATATAA